GGGTACCCATTAGATTGTGCAATCTGATTGGCCAGTCATAGGGATATCTTGCGTTTTTTACACCGGAGGAGAGCGGAAAGGCTGAGATGCCGAAACGTCAGCCGAAATATAAGTTAATTGACAATTTTAGTTACGGCTCAAATATCAGCTGAGAGAATTTCGACAAAAAACAGTGCCAAGATTCAGAGATAGTCGAGCATGGGAAATGACACTTTGCTTCATTGTGGTGTCACATGTGACGAGATTTTGACGACAGAAGACCTTCTTTTTCTGCAGAAAATATTCTTTAGCTCCGTCTTTACAGTCCTAAAATTCTTTTGCATTATGGAAACATAAATGGTATTCTCACGATCATGACATAAAAGCAAGATTTGTTTACTTGTTTAGTATCACGTAAGGTAGAACGAGTACGTCGAAATAGATAAGTATTGAATAACCGTCACATACGCGCCTCCAGAACTCAGGAAGTCCTGATGTAGGACCGTACTCCCAATAAAGAAAGAAAATTAACTCGAATAGTGATACCACTGCAGCCTAAAACTAAAATTGCTCTTGAAGGAACCCTTTGTAAAGATGAAAACATACTTGCAATGTCATGCGAATCTCGTTGTTATTTTTGAACGTCAAGGTTCCTTTCACAAACAATGTACCGAACATGATGGTATATGCACAGACGTTAACAACGCCAACAGCAAAGTTCGACACTTGATTCATCCTAAAGTTATTATTTACACCTTGTGAATGGATGTAGGCATGTCCGAGACTTTCGCAGCAATAAATTCATTTTAAAAAATTTTAATTTCAAGAACGCCTAAGCATTTCGAGCAAAGTAATGATGTTGCTCTACTGCTTATTATTCATGACATATGTAATATCCATTCAAGGAACATTCAGTATGTCTTTACTCAAAAATGGGGACTTTGAAGACCTTGAGGCAAAGGACGGTTCCTTCGCATTAGAGTTGCATAGTTGAATCCATTGATTGAACTTCTTTATTTATCAAACTTTTCTATTTAACACTGCTCTTGCCAAAATTTCTGCCTATGGTGCACAACTTAAATATTGCAAATCATTTATTTAGGGGTTCCGTCAATGTTTCTTTCGTCTGATGT